GCATCCATTCTTGCTTAACCATTCTAGCTTTTTAAATTTAATTCTTTAGCATCTTTTTGTTTTGTTATCGACTGTATGCTATTTTTCTTGTCAAATGGATAAAGATTTCAAAGGAATTAATGTAAAGGTAGCCTAGTTCATAAAACATAAATACTTTTTGCTATAGTCTTATGTTCACTTTTGCTGAGTGCACTTGGGAATGCAAGATCCTGGAATAAAGAAAATACTAAAAATACGACTCTTTAAAAATAACATATGTACTTCAGACTCTGCTGACTGTCATAAGAACAAAACCAAAAATTTCATATTAGAGAAGTAAATAGGCAAAATATTACAGAAGTGAAAGGTAATGAATAGGCTAATAATGAAAAAAATACTGTGTTGCCAGAATAAATTACAGATTTTCTTAAAATTACTTTCACTAATTATTTCTTTTTGTTAAATATATAAACATTTTCATTCAGAAGAGTCAGCCAACTTTAAGCATTTTTGTACATGGTCTTGATGCAGATTGCATTTTAATCCATTTTTGCAGTTGGTATAATTTGTGGAGATGTATTTTTAGTTATTGCTTTTATCTTTAGTGGATTAACTGCTGTAAAAATGCATTCCATTGTGAATTCTTTTTCATGTATTCTATTCATTGTTTACCTTGGTCATTGGAACATGACACATTTGGCTTAGTTATCTACTGCTTATCTTTTAACAAAACTTGACTTTTAAATCTAGTACAGTAATTTGAATCTCAGTAACATTTTTGGATTGTATCTTTTCCAAAAAGAAGAGAAAATATATTTATAATGGAATTTGATTAGATATTGAGCCTTTAAAACATTCTAGTTACATTTTCCATTTTCTTTAAAATTTCTTTGTAAGGAAATTATTTTCCATGATTAAGTATATATCATAATGCTATCAATTTCTTAAGTTCCTGTTAACTTTTTTTTAAAGTTGTATTGCATTTGAAAATACATACAAGATTTGTAGTTTTAAAACCTTTTTCTATAGAGTCAGTGTTAAATACAACACTTTAGCTATTTCTAAGGCAGTTGTGTTTGAGGACAATATTCTATACTTTTTGAAATCGAAAATTTGAAGGTCTGGCAATGACTTGATGCCACTTTTAAGTCTCTGAAAAGAACACTAGAACATCTATGGTAGGTGTTACAATTTGACTTTCATTGTATTATCTCATGATAATACCTTTGAAGTTTTTGCTGACTGCATTAAAAATTAATCATATAAATGAGGATCTCCAAAAAAGATAGTAAAATATTTACTGAGTTGTCTATTCAGCATGCCAAGCACTTTTCTAGGGGCTGGAGATACAAAGACTACATTTGTTAAAAGTATTCCTTCCTTTTCTTCTTACTGTGAATTGGGACTGCTTAGAACAGTTTAGAGGAATTTGTGAAAGAATTGGTTTTATACAAATGTCTTAGAACTGGTGAGAATGAGTGATAAAAGAAGATGATGTTATATCATGCTTCAAACTCATGTAGAATGTCATGTTTTCTGAGTAATCCATACTTCTATAAATTAGCAAGTTTAACACTAGATCAGTTAAAACACAAGTGAATTGAAATCTTGGTCTTTGTAGAATGGTTACCTTTAATTTCATTGCTTATAAGTAAGGTATATCCTTCCCTTTTTCTTTGGTAATAGAAAAGACTAATAAGTCATTTGTGCTCATTTAATAATTTAGCATTGAGAACAAATATTGCAAGTAATCTAATTTGATATCATTTTCTCAGTGGCATTAATATTTAGCTGTACTGTTTCTGATTTGACTATAACTGGTTGTTCAGTAAGATCTTTAAAATTTTTTAAGTATTTACAGAAAATGTTAAAATGGTTTTATTGTTGTGGTGGCAGATTAATAAACTTGTAACACTCTCTTGAAGGAGCATCTTGGCATTACTGATTTTGTTAGCTTTGATTTGAAATGTATTCTTCAACAGCATGTTAGTCCTGCAGTAGAATACTTTTTTCCTTTTAAAGTACCACAGGGAAGAATGCTGTTCATTAAAATAGAATTTGGTAAGGACCTGTTACATCATTCTTATGTGCCTCTGTCAATGGTATTCTCACGAAGTCTGCTCTTTCTTGTAATGACCACATTTTGAAAGTGTCTATATGTTTTTCCTATATAAATGATACTTTCATATCTAGGGTCTTGATAAATTACTAACTCTTTGAAGCAAGAGAGATACTACCTTTCCCCAATGATCTCGAAATAATACTTAGAGAAATCTGTGTTTATTCATTTCTGAGTAATGAGTATGTTGAAGTTTTAATAATTAAGACAAAGAAGTTATAATCCAAAAATGATCTGACATTGGAGACATTTCCAAAAGGATTGTATCTCCATTCTACTCACCTTCTTAACATACCCCTTGGGTTTTTTTTTCAGAGTGGTTGTTATGTTTTAAACATATATTCTTAGGGTGTGATAAGTAAATCAAAGGTTTGGAGGTGTTTAATGTGAAGTTCATGCTGATAGAGAAGATCTAAGATTAGTCCAATATTAATCTGCAGAAGATAGGATTTCTTGGGAGTTCTTTTTCATTTTCATATGAAGTGGGTCTGTGAACTTGGAAAAAAATTACAGGGTGTGTTTTCTGTTTCAAAATGGACTTTTCGTTTTTGCTTCTTCACTCAGTTATATGTTATTATTGATATTAAGAATTGGAGTAAAACTAGAAAGTGGGGAAAATCATATCTTGTTTATAATTTCTTTTTTTTTTTTTTTGGTACCGGGGATTGAACTCGGGTCCTTGTGCTTGCAAGGCAGGCCACTGAACCACTGAGCTAAATCCCCAGCCCTGTTGTTTATAATTTCTGTATAGGTTTTTAACTATCTTAATCACTAGTTTTATTTAGATATTAATTTGGAAATCTTAAGTATTTGGTTTATGTTGAAATATATGTGAAAAGAAAGGGTTTATCAAGAGAATTGATAATAAAGGATTAGAAGATGACTGTTTAATAATTTAAAAAGTGCTGTTGTAGTAGGTATTTTTATGTAGGGAAAAAGAAATGCATGTTAGATACCTCTGATGTTCTAAAAGTATTTCTTACCTGTGAAGGAGCCATCCCTAAAGAGTTGCTGTGGAATACTTTGCTAATCTCTTTGGAAGTTTTGGGTTCTTAGAATTATCTAATTAGAAAACATTTCTTGGGATATTCAGTATTCAAATCTTTTTTTCTAATATTTGATTTTTCGTCTTGTCATCGTCCCTCATCTGTCTCCTCAGTATGATAGATAAAACTCTAAAATACTTTTTAAACCTACTGATATAAAAATTGTCTCTTCAAAAGGAAAGGCTTTTTAGAAATTTAAATGTGTTGGAAAGTTTAAATGAAAAAAGAGCTGCCACTTAAACTCATGAAATACTTTTGTAGTTTGAGACTTCTTGCCTAGATGGCAGTTGCACCTTCTTGACTTACTTAGATTTTCTTTTTTATTTATTTCTTTTAATTTTTGGAAATTATAGATTTGATGATTTAAATTCACAGATTTTCTTTACTTAGGCCAAACTATTTTCAGTTCTTGCTTGTACAGAGTTGGATATGTTCTTAAGCAGAAGAGTTAGCTCATTCTTTTCATCTTTAGGCTTTTAAAAAGTTTAGTGTAAATGTTGTTAGGTAATGGAATAACTATTCCTTTTCAGCTTTGTATGTATTTCCAAACTGGCTGCCAGAGCCAGGAGGAAGTAAAAGCATTTATACACTAACTTTGGTTGGTTACTACTTTCTTAGTGCTGAGACTATAACCTTTGTTGGTTGGTTGGTAGAGAACAACAGAGCACAAGCCTCGTTCCACTAACAGGTAAGGAAACCTTGTGATAAACAGTTGGTGTGAGTGGGAGATTATGTAGTAGCATTTAAAAAAAAATTATCACAAAATATAACGTCCCAGAAATAAGACATGGGGATTTTACCTGTTCCACTGTTACTGACTTACTCCATAGAAGAGGGGGATGCAGCACTTTTATATTTTAGAATAAGCTCCAAAATTTAATAGAGATATATCACTCTGGACCACAAAGAATAACTGATCCTTTTTCCAGAGGCAACATGTAAGATTTATCCTGCAATCCCTATAACTTTAAATACATATCTGCTTATGTTATTCTCCTTTCAGCTTTTCTTTGATGCTGTATGCTTTGAACTTCTTTCTCTCTGTTTACCTTTTCCTATTTATAAAGCTAACTATTTTCCAATGTCTTTATCATCATCTATTATTTGGGTATATCTTACAGCTTTAATTTCTACATTGTAGCTGTTAATAATTATTCCTAGTCCATCTTGACCCAGAAAAAAATGATCAGCATTTAAAAAAGATTTTGAATCTCTATTACCTTATAGCCACTATTCTGCCCTCTGAGTTTTAAAGAGGAATGCTTGAAGAATAGACCTTTTTCAGTGACAGTGGGCATTGCTTTGATAAAACTTGGGTTTAGCCTTGTATTGCTATAATATTGGCCTATAGTATGCTTAATTCTTTAAATATTGAACCTTTGAAAACTGGTAACAAATTCAGCTTCTGAGGCATTCCAAAAGTTTAGTGGTATCCCTGTTAATATGCTTGATTATTCTGTTTCTGCTTTTCAATCCATCTTCTTGTCTTTGGCAGAAGAATTAACTGGGACTCCTTTGATATATCTGAGGTTGAGTGCCTCTTCCCTGTCATTTTAAGACAACTATTCATAACTCATAATTTTTTTATTTTTATTTTTTGGCTTTGGTCTTAAAAGTTGAGTGGTTTGTCACAGAGTGTGTTATGGCTTAGATACAGGTCTTTTCTTAATAGTCACTGAGGTATTAATCATTTGTGGTGACAGACTTATAAAATTCAAATTAAGAAGGTGGTAAAGTATGTCCAAAGATAGCTCCTTTTTGTCCTGAGGATAAGCCATTACAAACTCAGATGACCAGAGAATGTAATTTCTTAATAAGAATTTTTTCTTAAATCTATATTCAGCTCTCTATTTCAGTGCTTCTCTCCTACCAGAGGTGCAAGGAGTGATCCTAGAACCACAGATACAGCCAAGACCACGGAGAGCTTTTGACGTCAGGGGTCCACTTTCTCCACTGAACCCTTGGAGACAGAATATCCAGCTTCTGGAGAGAGAGGGAAAGGATAATAAACAAGTGGGTGCTTTCCATTATTTACTTGGGTTTATTTTTAGATTGGAGTGTCCTTCTATTGCCCATTTTATTCTATTGGTAAACTCCATGGGTTCATAAAAGAACCAGGTGGTGCCACAAACTCTTTGTTTTTCTGAGAGTGCTAATTAGTGCCCATTTAAACAAAACAAAACAAACAAACAAAAAAAAAAAACCTAAATTTTATTTCATTTTTTCTCCGGATAATTAAAGGATGATTTGGGGCACATGATTTGGTGGATATGTGTGTAGTCCACAGAAATTTTAAAAGGGAGTATTTACCCATTTGGTATTTATGGTAATAGTGGACTTCTAAGTGCTCTCTTACATTCTCATAATTTAAAAGTTTCTGTATTTCATCTTTTGTCAAGATGGACATCTAAATCTCTAATTTATATAGTAGATGTCCAGGTGTTATCCTACCCTATTAGTGAGAACTTTTTGGTCTTTTTCCTACCTCAAATATTAGGCTTTCATATTAGATCTTCTAGAAGATGGAATGATGGTAGTATTGTTACAGTTTTACTGTCAAATCTAGGCTTCATTCTTTAATAAAATAAATATGAATGAGTATGTTTCAGGATATAATATCCTTGAAAGCTATGTTTAATATACTCAAAAGAAGTTTTCTTGTCCCTAGGAATAGTAATATTTGTGGCAAAATAGCCTTTTGCTGGATTTTTCCCATGGCATTAAGATAGTTTTCTCTTAGTTTTTTTGATGCCAAGGGTAGGATTTGATTCCAGGAAGTTCTTATCATCTACAATGGGTAGGATGTGAACTTTGGTGCCTTTGGCAAGTTTTCATTTTTCCTTGGTGGATTCCTTCTGTGACTCCAGGTGTCTTGATAATGGGAGACCGGTTTAATTGTTCTCTAATTGCCCAGATTTCTTTCAACTGGTAATACATCATACTTCTTCAGCAAAAGGAATTCTTCTAGCAGAGCCTTCATGGATGATATCTGTCACATATGCCAGCATCTGCAGTTTGGAAGGCAGTGGTGAATGGATCCATGCAATATGTGTAGAAGACTCAAGGATGAGCCAGCCACCTGATCTTGTTATTTATAAACTTCTAAGATTTACTCTTGGTCTGAAAATGGAAAGGCTCAAATAATGAAATAATCTTTTCAAATTGGAATTTTACATGGCCATGAAAACATTCCTTTCTATTCAGAAGACTGAAATAGAGGAAGCTTGAGAGACTCCTTTCTTTTAAAGCAGCTCTCTGTATCTGTTTCACTTAAAAGATTTGTGGGACTGAAAAATCAACTTAATAAAGTAGTAGGTAAACTTTTTTTTAAAAAATACTGTAGGAAATCCAAAAAATTATTAAAGTTTTTGTTTTGTTTTGTTTTTTGTTTTATTTGTGATTACCTTATGCTGAAAGGAGCTAGGAAATAAAGGGTGATTTTTAAAATTATTTCAGATTCTTAATATTAAGATACACTCCTTTATCTCATCTTTTGCTGCTCTTGAACCTTACTGTATTTAATCAGAATCAACAAAGATTGTAAGGTAGAAGTAGAAGAGATATCTTTGAATTTAAGTAATTTTACCTGTCATCTACATGAATAAATACCTGTTAAACTTGAGGTATTGTTCTGCACAGAAAGCATACTAAAATGTAAATGATACTAACACTAAATAGTAACTTACAGGGTAAAGACAAGTTGTGTTAGTAGAATAGGCCTATCTTTGAGTAAGTGTTGCAAGCTAGTTTTATCCAAACTTTGAATTAATGATAAAAAGTAGTTATCAGAATGTTTGTTTTTTCTTTGGTATCTTATTAATTGGTCAGTCCAAAGCTATTAAAGAAATTAAAATCATTAGGTGCTGTCATTTTGATATTTTGTACAAATTTTAAGAGAAATTCTAGAGTTACTAATATGGAAAGAGCTAAAATCTTTTAGGAATGCCTAATGTTTCAGAAGCCACATATGCTTAAATACAACCTGGGCTTTAGTTTTTTGTTTTGTTTTGTTTTGTTTTTTGAGATAGGGTCTCACTATGTAGTTGAGACTCATCTGGAACTCACAGTGATCCTCCTGCCTCAGCCCCCACCCCCGCCCATTGCTGGGATTACAGGCGTGTGCTACCACGCCTGACCCGAGGCCTTTAGTTTTCTTTGGTTTAACTATGAGAAGTGTTTTTTTTTTCTCATTGATTTAAATAATTGTTTTATAAATAATTGTACTTAAAACTAAGTTTAAAAGATCAGTTGGAATTAACATTTCCTAAGCTCTGAATTTCCATTAATGACTCTACCTTTATTTGACTTGTTTTTGTTAATAAGACAGTTGGTTTACAAAATATATATACTAAAAAAAAAAAAAACTACCTAAGATTTTAGAAGGAACTCAGGTTTAAAAAACATATATACTTAAAAAAAAAATTACCAAATATTTTAGAACGGACTCAGAATTGAAAGTGAAGTTTTCTTAGAAATTTAGTTAGTTGAATTTTTGAACTGTGGTTCAGTATAAACCATTTTGTGGCCTGTAATGTTACTAGCTTTTTGATTCAGCTTTGAAGATGAAGGTGATTTAGTTTTCTTAATTAAATTTTAGCTCTGTTCATTAAAGTGTGCAAAAGAAATGTAAGTGCATTTCTCTTTATCTCATGCCACTGCAAACTATTTAAAAGTGAAACTTTTTGTATATTAATGTCAACTGATTTGTTTAAACTCTTTATTTTGATGCATTTTCATTTCAGATTTTTAAAAATAATTTTGTCACAATATACAGCCCTATATTTTTCAGTGTTTTATGAATATTAATACAAACTAATTTTTCTAGAATGGTTAATTGTGTAATATTTGTATTATGTGATTATTTGAAAACTAATAAATATTTTCTCCATAAAAAATACACTTACTGATAAATGACTTATTTCTGTTTCAGGAGTAGCAAGTGAAAACTGCAACAGTATTTAAATGTATTTTAATTTTATGTGTCTTCACAGTGTTTCTGAATATACTATACTGTATTTTTACTGAAAAAAACTTTAATAATTAACTTGAATTGATATTGTAAATATCAGGTATAATTTGGTCAAATATTTTGAAGCTAGAGTGAGCAAAATATAACCCCTTACAAAATAGCATGAAGTCTCTATTCAAAACAAGAACATTTAGAAATAATGCTGATCGGAGAACTACTCAATTTTCTTAAGTGTTGTTGCCAAAAGAAAAGTGTTTTATATTTTAATGTTCTTCTTGAACAAATAGCTGTAAAAGAAATAATCTTGACTTCAGAGTTTCTTGCTTCAACCTTATCAAGACAGCATGGGGCTGGGGATCTAGCTCAGTGGTTCCACTGCCTGCCTTGCAAGTATAAGCCCCTGAGTTTGATCCCTGGTACCAAAAAAAAAAAAAAGATAGCATGGAAAACAGCAAAATTTGATTTAATGATTTTTGTTAATATGATTGCATAAACTTACCTCATTAAAGCCATTGGAACAATTTACCCTTTCTTGGTAGAAGCAAGAGGATTTCTTTTTGCAGAAAAGTTACGCAAGAAGTGGGCTCCAAAAATTTAAAGTAAATATTAAGATGGAGTCCGACACAAAGGAATAAAAATTGAATTAATTAATGACAGTCTATGGATTAAAATGAAATAGTTTGGTTCTTAAACTGTAGTCTAAGAAAAGACAATTATAAAAGAAAATTATGATTTCAGATAGCTACTGTAATGGAGAACAGGGAAATCATACTCAAAATTTTGACTATTAACCTGGTAAGTTTATAAAAGATGAGTTAAAGAGTCTGGACAAATTTTATATTTGGAGTTAAAGCTATTAAAAGATTTGCTGATAATATATTTCAGTAGGAGACTTTTATGTGAATACAAAAAAATTTATAAGCCTTTCCTGTATGTATACAAAAGGATAGGGTGGGGGTGAAAAATATGCTTCATCAGAACCTTCAGGAGTATTGCAACGGTAATAGTGAAATGAGTTTTAAATAAGTAATTTTTCTTACATGAACTCTTTCCTACACCAATAGCATTCAAAATAAAAATATTACAGAATGTTGAACTTGGCTTATAGTTGTATATTCAAGGTTTAAAAACATAAGCTTATGGTTTCACCATCATTGATTAGATTAACTTCAGTATAAAAATCTGTTTTGATTGTTATTACTGTGAAAACAAAAGCCCCCTCCCACCTTTTGGTAGCTTCTGCTATAAAAAGTCACAAGCAAGGTGACTGGAAAATACTGACCTGATAGCTTAAATATATGCACAAACCTTATTTTCCTTTGCTGTATTGAAACAGTTGAGCAGAAGTCAGTGCTTAGATATTCTAAGCAATTCTTTTATTTTTTTCAGTTGGTTTTTTTTTTGTTGTTTTCTGTAAAAAAAGTTTTTATATTAGTCCTAAAACCTGAACAATTCATGTTTCAAAAATTAGTACATAGCTGCTCTGGGTGTTCAAAAAACTCCACTAGTATATCTACCTAAGGCAATTAGATTACTGTGGAAAAAAATGTTAGGGAACTTTGAAGTATACATCGGAATTTTCAGAAATTATAATCAAGGGATCTCTGCTCAAGAGGTAAGGTATGGCATAGATAGAAAAGTGTTCAAAGTATGTTCAACATAATGTCTGATGACAAAGTAAATGAAAACAAATAAGCTTGTATTTGAGACAGATGTAGAATTATGAAAATAATTTTAAAAAATTTATAGAGAATAGTCAAACCACAAATATGTTTTTGCCTGGGTTTGGAGTGCATTTAGAAACATAGGCATTATATTCTTTGTGTGTACATAGCCTTCAATATTAAAAGGCATCTTCTACCTTTGTTTTCTTGAGTTTATGATCTATATTTAATTTAGTGAGCACTAAAATATTGTACTTTGCATGAAAAGCTGAGTACATATTCTGTAAGATTATTGCCTAAGTTCATTTTGGCTGTGTGTACCTGTTTTTATTAAATGATACCTGGAACTTAGAAGATAATTTCTGGAGTAATTTTTATTTTGTATGAAAAACTAAGGAATTTTATAGTAGTCACTTACACTAAATTGGGAGTCTTATTCCTAACACAAAGAAATAATATTATTGTCTATGTAGCATTGAAATGAGAATACTGTTCTCTAAGGAATAATAAGTTCAAAGAATTGAATGTTAGTATAAATCTGAGTATATCTAAAAATAAAGGAAACCACAACACTGAATATAGATGAAATAGGAAAATACTAGGATTTTTTTCCTAGATAGAATTAAAATTCTAGTATAATTTATTCAGTGAATGGTAACAAAACACAATAATCTTACACCATGTATGAGTTCTTTTTATAAGTACTCCACCTGGTGGACATTTGGCTCTTAAAGGAATTTGCTATTTATTCCATTTATGTAAAACCGTAATGATGTTGGTGTGAATTAGTGATACAGCTCACCACCTATGAGGTAGGTAGGAGGTTCTATATTCAGGATGGTCTAATAAGAAGTTAATCCAGAATTAACTCCTGCACCTTTTTAAATTTAAAATTACCTTAGAAATTATCCATTTTGGTACCCTTATTTTATATACTAGATAATTGATATTCAGAAACATCATTTATCATTTCTAACATTACATTATTAATAATAATACATAAATTGCCATTTTACTACTTTCTCTTGTTAAACCTAGTTTTAGAGGACAGAGCATATCTGATTCCTTTCAGATACGATAAATAACTATTAATTACCCATCAGTTCTAAGCTTAGGTTTTTTTCCTCCCACAGATTAAGTATTCTCATGTTCCCATCTCTTACTCATGAAGCATGGTTTAAAAGTTTTGTAGATCTTCCCTGAAGATACTCGAGTTTCTCATAGTATGATTTTGTTTGTTTCTGAGCCGGGGTCTTACTTTGTAGTTCAGGCTGTCCTTGAACTACCTATGTAGCACAGATTGGACACAAACTAGAAGCAGTCCTCCTGCCTCAGCCACCTGAGTGCTGGGTTTACAGGTGTGTGCCACTGTCTGGCTCTCCTACTGTGTGATTCTTAACAGTACAGAGAAGAGCTCTGCTTGGGCTGTTAGAGCATGACTAACATGTTTGTCCGTTACTACTCATGCCACTTTATCCTTAGGTATTTATAAAGTAGTGTGCCTAGTTTTATGCATGTTCAGATTATTCAGGCAGAGAAATTATGTAGTGATTACACAGAATATTTATTTGTAAAATTCAGTCTAGTAGCCTATAGAAAGGCTATAGTGTTCATAATCTAGTAAATAAAGCTGACTCAGTACTAAGACCTTGGGAAATTATAGGTAAAGTATAATCTTTTAAGGTATTTTTG